TGTAATTGAAATCTAAAATATGAGTGCGATATCACACATGGTATTACATATATTTTTTTTCTCTCGGAACATTCGTTGTAGTTCACATTCAGGAAAAATGTAATTTGCAGACACCGCTCCCCGGATCATAGACGGTTTGGACCACTTTAATGGCATTGTTTACATAAAATGTGTGTATGCTCTTAAGCGCTTATATTGCAACTGCAGTGATCGTTAGGGCTGCTTAAACACGGAGTAAATCGAACTCTCTCTCTCTCTCTCTCTCTCTCTCTCTCTCTCTCTCTCTCTCTCTCTCTCTCTCTCTCTCTCTCTCTCTCTCTCTCTCTCTCTCTCTCTCTCTCTCTCTCTCTCTCTCTCTCTCTCTCTCTCTCTCTCTCTCTATATATATATATATATATATATATATATATATATATATATATATATATACATATACATACATATATATAACATATATGCATATATTACATGCATATCCAGAAAGAGAGAATCAGTGTCATGTCCTTATTACTCAGCCGTAGTTACAATATTTATGCCTGTAAAGGGTGACATTCATGGCTGTTTATTATTTATCTATTTTTTCACATATCATCATAGTTCGTTAATTCCTTTCTTAATTTTCTTTACTGGAAAATCGCCAATCAATAAATAATTGAAGTGGACGGGCAGGGGAAGACTCGAAAATAGATTCCCAGATAAAAGATCAAATGTAGAGCTACCATTAAATGCTCTAGAATGAAGGCTCTAAAACCAATGTTCCAGAATGTTCCATAAACCATCAATGAATCTCATTCTGACGTTAAGAATATAGTTTGAGAAGCAGCAACAACGGACACAATTTTTGCAATACTTTGATCTCTCAATTGCATGAAATAGTAATAAAACAAACAATAGTAATAAAATCCTCTGCCACAGCAATGAAGGAATTGAAACAAAGACAAAAAACGAAATAAAACACCAACAAACCGGAATGCAGAACCGATTTAATGAAACGCAATTCAAAACCGCCTTCGCATGGATAACGCGCGGCGAGTGGGATGACCAACCGCCACAGATGTTTAGATAACAAAACAGCTGAGGTCGACGTTCACGGAAACCTTTGGTAATTGCGCTTCATTGCACTAATTAGCAGGAATTTAATATGGTTTTCATCATCAGTTAGTATGAGGAACGATGTAATGCGATAAGCTGGGGGTCGTTATCAAAGTTGCTCTTTCTTTCATTGTTACTGATATCAGTTTTACTAATATTAGTATAAATATCATGATTATTATTATTATTTTTATTATTATTATTTATTATTATTATTATATTATTATATTATTATTATTATTATTATTATTATTATTATTATTATTATTATTATTATCATTATTTATCATTATTATCATTATTATTATTATTATTATTATTATTATTATTATTATTATCATTATTATTATTATATTATTATTATTATTATTATTATTATATTATTATTATTATTATTATTATTATTTATTATTATATTATTATATCATTATTATTATTATTATTATTATTATTATTAATTTTTTATTATCATCATCAGGATTATTGTTATTGTTATTATTACTATTATATTGTTGTTATTATCATATCATGATCATGATCATTGTTATTATTATATTATTATTATTATATCATTATTATTATCATCATCATTATTATTATTATTTATTGTTAATCATTATTATTATTATCATTATCATTATTATTATTATTATTATTATTATTATTATTATTATTATTATTATTATTATTATTATTATCATTATTATTATTATTATTATTATTATCATTATATATTATCATTATCATATCCATCATAATCATAATTGTTATTGTTATTATTACTATCACTATTATTATTATCATTATTGTTATCTTCATTATTATCGTTATCATTTTAGTTATTAGAAATATTATTATTATTATTATCATTTCAATTATTAAAGACGTTATTATAATCATTGTTGTCACTATTATTACTGTTATTAATATTATTATTGTTGTTGTTATTATCATTATTGCTATTTGTATTATTGTCGTTATCGTTATTATCGTTATTACCATTATCATTATTATTACCATTATAATTATTATTATTATATTGTTATTATTATTATTTATTATTATTATTATTATTATTATTATTATTATTATTATTATTATTATTATTATTATTATTATCATTATTATTATTATTATTATTATTATTATTATTATTATTATTATTATTTTTATTATTATTATTATTGTTATTATTATCATCATTATTGTTATAGTTATTATAGTTATCAGTGATATTATTATTGTTATTATTATTATTATTATTATTATTATTATTATTATTATTATTATTATTATTATTATTTATTATTATTATTATTATTATTATTATCATTATTAATTATTATTATTATTATTATTCATTATTAATAAAATTAATATTATTATCTTTATTATTATTAATATTATT